ATATGTTTTAAAAGATCTGTATCTTTTTATTGGTTTTACGGGAACACACTAGAAAACCTATTCTGATCTCCTGAACTCAGTCATCCAAAATATTTGTCTGAACTGAAAGCTCATTGTCCGTTACCATCTGAAATATCAGTAGGGTCTCTGCTCAGCATAAAAATCTATAAATGTTTGGAAATAATAAGGATATGTATGTTTATCTGTATCTGCACGTTCTTCAGCATCATCTGGTAGTTCTGTATTACTGAGCTTTCCAAAGCTCACTCTATTACTCACCTTTTCATGTTAAAAGAATTGTACCAATGTATCTATCGACTTCAGTAAGGGAGTTCTTCCGGCATTGTTGCAGAGTATGGTATATGTGATTAAGGGGCATGTAATTGTATTTTGATTTATATACGAGTCTGGAAATCTGTTTTATTTTTAAATAGTGACAACTGATTTTATAAGTTACATGTTTCAATAAAAGTTTTAAATTTTCCGCTATTTTTACAGTGGGTCGCTCCCGGTGGCCCAAATGTGACACCTCGGATTGGATCTGGTTACCTGCATCGGTCTGGGGGGTTACATTCCCAGCAGCCACCGCAGCCATATATGATGCCGCCATCGCCTTTCCATTACCAGATGTCGCTACCGCCTTCACCTGGTTTTATGACTCCGCCACCGCCACCGTCACAGATGACCCCTCTTGGAGGCTATTATGGGTCTATGTTTGTATATCCGACTTGGGGTTCATATGCTGGATATTTGGCAGGTTTTAGCCTCATCACCCATGGCCGCAACAAAGGCACCTCCTGTACAGTTTTCACACTCAGTGATGTTTGGGTTTTCCCAGTTTTCGCAGGCCGGTGGGATAGTCAGTCATACACCTCCAGGGTCGTTTTTCTATGGAGGTGCTTCATCGTCATCAGCTCCTCATCAACCTAATGTACCTGCTCAGGACGACGACGAGGACGACGACGACGACGACGACGATGACGACACTGACGATGACGATGATGACGATAGCGAGGAGTCAGAACCAGTGATACGAAGAAATCCTCATCGAGACCGACAACCATCGACCTGCGGAACACATTCGTGACACAGGCATCGATAGATTTTTTTTTATTTTATTTGTATTTACTTTATTTTGTTTAATTGTAATTTTTTTTATTTCTCATTTAATACTTACTTTATTTTGTTAAATTTGTTGGACTTTTTTTTAATATATTTCAGTTAATTTTGTTTATTACCATTTAATATCAGTTATTATAATTTGGTTATCATTTACCATTTTAATTCTTATTGTAAGTTTGTTGTATTTAAATTCCAAATTGTTATTAGTTTGATAAAAATTAATGATTGTGTTCGTTTTTTTAATCATCATCAGTGATTATCGAATGACATTAACTTGAAGTAAATGCAAATTAAAATACAAGAATTAATATTTGATAAACAAATACATCATTTCCTCATCAATTGTTACTTGATGACAACAGAAGTGGACATGTTTTTCTAGTGTGTTCTGGGTTTCTACAATGGCCACATCTTCTGTCTTGTCTAGATCTTTCTCGAATATCCATATCGCAATTAATTCGATTGGATTTCGGACGACCACTCTCCCTCAATAAACTCAGATTCGGTACAATCGAAAGCCAATCTTGACATGACCTCCTTGCATCCAGGTTTGAGCTTGTCCCCCGAGCTTCGCAAAAAGTGCCCCCAAACGAAAATATATAGTTTTTACCAAAGTCGCTACATGTAAGTGACGTGCACCCTTTAAGGTTGAATTGATTGCCTCAGCCAAGTTGATCGTCATGTGTCCATATCGATATCCACCATCATATGCGTTCGTCCACACTTCTTTATCGATAAGGCTGATGTAATCGTATCCTTCCTCGTTCTTCGCCCGTAAATCTTGAAGCATTGATTCAAACGTTCGAGGAAGTAGTTCGTAACCTGATCAAAAAATGTATAACTTACTAACTTGCTTTCTTTGCAAAATTAAAATGATCAAAAAATGTATAACTTACTAACTTGCTTTCACTTACCCATGCGCACAATTAATTGACGCTTATCATTCTTCTTGTACCTTCCATGATAGTTCGCAGCAATGTGTCAGAGATAATACCTATGTTGGACAAAGGGTGGTTTCCACATTGGACCCAAAGACTCCATTGCTGCTTTGATCCCAGCTCCGCGATCTAAAATGGCACAAAATATTTCCCTCGTGATAACATGTGCACATAAATTTCGGAGGAAAAAAGCCCAAGAATCTGTATCTTCTCCTTCGACAAGAGCAAAAGCATCTGGAAGAATGTTGCGATTGTCATCTTGGATAACTGCCAATAATAAAACTTGCTTTTATTTTCCATACAAGAAAGTCATGTCGATCTGGACCACAGACTTGCAGTATTTGGAAGCATTAACGCACTATGGGTAACTCCAAAAAACCCGGTAGAATTGGCTTCGATCGCGAAGAACTCGATCATTATGGTATGCATAGGAGGTTTCAAAGTCCACAATTATCCCAGGATTCAACGTCCGCACCAGCCTAAACCAACCTGGAAGTTCGTTGTAAGATGCATCCCATTCGCCATGAAGTTTGACAATGGCATTTTTTTTTGCCAACAAAGCTTTTTTATAGGAGACAATGTGCCCATACTGCGATTGTATAGCTGAAATCAATACTGCAACAACTATATGAGAGCCTGCTTTTACCATGGGTATGATGGCTTGGCATATCACTTCAGAGACCAAGTTGGGATGATCTTGGTTGACCTCTCCAACACAACATGTGTGAAGACCGTTGTATACTGTTAGTTCCCATATGTTGTTTTTCCTCTTCCTTTTCGATACGCGAACCATCCAATTACATCCGTTTTCGCGTCGGGCATAGTAGTATACACATTTTTTTGTCGTGGATCGGTTGACTCTGGACTGAACAGAATTACGGATATTGTAATTTTTTATAGCTATCACCGCTTCTTCTTTGCTTGAGAACTCCATGCCTAAAGATAACTCACCATTATTTATTAATGAGTAATATCCATAGTCACCGAGATGAGGCATATATGCAAATTCTAGTCCGCACATTGCACCATAATAAGCTTCATATATGTGTGCAGGAGGGTCAGTTTGTGCCACATTTCTTGGAACTTCATCATCATCGGAGTTGAATTGAGATGATTCTAGGTGAATAAATAGTCCAGTCTCAGCACCATCCGCACCAGGCTCACGAAGCAGTTTTTCTGGTGGAGATGATAGTTCCTCCATGCTCTCCACATTTAGGTCGAAGAACCTACTACTTGCACGTCTTCCCATTAAACTGGAAGGCATATCGACATTGAGATCGAAAAATCTCGCAGTCGAATGCCTCCCCCTGGAGCTTGAAGCCATCGTGTCAAATAGAAACTGCACAGATGGTTGCGTCGATGTCATCTCCATATGGTCAAAGAAATTTGCAGATGAATGTCTTCCCCCTTGAACTGGACGTGGTGTTGCCATACGGATTGTTCGTAGACTCATCTCGGTACATATCGTAAGGAGTTGCGGATGAATGTCTCCCCATTATGGCATTAAAATCATTACACATTACTGTAGTCGGGCTGTCAACTTGATCAACTTGTTTAGCCAGCCCATAGTGTGAGCTTAAAGATTGACCCCGAACAGCACGCACTTGAACAAAATGTGCATACATCTCAATAGCGGCGTCTGAATAATTACTTTGAGCTTCAATCATCATTTGAACATCATCATTGTTCGAAAGTTTGAACGCTGTATAAGTTAATGACAACAATGATGTTGAAAATCTGTACTGCAACGACAACATTCTTCTACTACTTCCAACATGAATCTTCCTCGAAATCTTCGTTATCAGATCCTCAAGAGTTATGTTTCTCTTAAATGATATTTTAACACGCTCATTTGATACGAAAACAACGTCGGTTTCATATTCTCAAATTTCACCATCATAATAAACATAGTTGAAAGTCGCGACATTCTTTGAGTTTAAAAGTGCGACAATATTATATTTGCAAAAAAAAAATAACTGAAACAAACCTGATTAAATAAATTATATATGAACGAAAATATAACACAATTTTTTTTACACATCAACGTAAATAATTTAAATAATATAATTTTATATTATTACATGCACCGCAAAACTATTTCGACGTATGCTCCCACTTTTTAATTTTACAAACATAAAAATTAATTGAAAATAATTAGTATAATTTTTTCAAATAATGATAATAAACAATAAGTATAATTAAAAAATTATAACAAAGTTACCTTATAACGAAAAAACGCACGAACTTCTAAATCAAATATGAGAAAATACCAGAATTATTACTCGTTGACGGAATTGTTGTATTAATTTATAAGTTGAGAGGAGAGATGTGAGATGTGAGGAGATGTGAGAATCGGAGGAGTGCTTTTATAAACATATAAGGCGCGGTACATGTACCGCGTTATATGTAATTATTATATAACGCGGACCAGGGATCGCGTTAAATATAATTTTGGTACGACGTATAGTATGACCCCTGATCCGCGCTATACCCCTACGTGGCGTATAACGCGGAGCAGGGGACGCGCTATACTCCACGTGTAACCCAGTCAGTATATAGCGCGGTACAAAGGGCACGCTATAATCCACATGACGCCAAATCAACATAAAACGCTGTTCAAAGGCACCCTTTACAGCTACGAATATTAAATCAAAAAATATAATCTGACCGATATTAAATCGATAAATATACCAATCACCACTCATTTTTCGAGAAAAACACCCTACATTATTTAGCCAACGAAGTCATTCATTTTTAGCAGTTCATTATTGTGGTTAACATTTATGATAAGAATTGACAGCGGTAAAAATTGAGGGAAAAGAAGAAAATTAAAATCCTATATTCTCTGTGTGGAGAAAGACAAGACACCGTTTCAGATTTGCAGGTTTTTGGAAGTCAGCCTTGTTTGCTTTTCATCTTCTACTTGTAGTACAAAAGGAAATGAAGATATGTTATGTGGGGAAAGCAACAAAAATCTTCATCTTCATAGTTATAGTGTTGGTGGCTTTGGGTCTGGTCTTGGGATTCGGGCTCATCCGTCACGGCCACCAAGACTCACACAAATGCTCCGGCGATTCTTGCCCTTCTTCTCCATCCCTTGTCTTCCCCACACCTCCACCACCCTCCTCTTCTTCCTCTCCCCTCATTGGGCCTTCTAACCCACCACCACCACCAGCTGCCGATCCTACCACCTCCACTCCTGCTCCTCTTACCCCAAACCCAAACCCTCCGCCACAATTCCCTCCCCCTTCTGCTCCTCCACCGCCTGCTTCACCTGTTGTGTCGGCGCCGCCGCCCTCAAGTCAGCCTACGCCGGTATTGGTGGCTCCAGGTCCTGTGCATTCTTAGATTAGCTGGTTAGCTTCCATTTTTTAAAAAGATTTGTACGGCGTTTTCTTAGTTTATAGTGGTGAGTTGAATTTTGGTGAGAGTTGATCAGATTTGAATTTAGATTTTGATGTAAAAAAGAATTCGTGTATGATCTGTAACGGTAGATTTTTGGCTCCAGATCCATTTTTCCCTTTTTATGTTGGATCCCAAACAATTTTTCTATGGGTACTTGTTTTGTTGGTGTAAACAATTTTTGTCTCCAGATCCATTTTCCCTTCCTATGTTGGATCTCACAGATAATGGATGAAAATAAACACCCCAATCATCAACAAACTTGCTAACCAAAACCCAGTTCTCATCTTCTTTCATCTCCCTCCATTTCTTGTTCATTTCCTCTTCCAGCAAAGACAAATACTGGCACAACTCTGCAAACAGCAACCCTTTGCTTTTCTTCATGGCTTTCTCTTTTTGCTCCAAGTGAGTATTAATCTTTTCCGCGGTTATGGCCAAATCTAAAGCCAGGGCTGAATCGCTGAGGCTCTTTTTAGTGCATGAGATGTTGTGGACCTTGATGGTGATGAAGGTTGTGGTGGGGAAATTACGAATTCGTGGGAGTTATTCGGGGAAAACTGAATCGGAGACGTGTTCAGGAACACCGCCATTTTCAAAGGTTGTCGGAAAAAAGGATTTGGATTTAGATAGTCGGGGGAACGGCAGATTTTGTGTTTTGCTAGCGAATTTCACAATTAGAACACACTAGATATAAACCAATAGCTTTTAAACAAATTTGGGCCCTTTTTATGCCGTACAAACAGGGTTTGTTTGGGTAAATTACACAAATTTGCCATTGAACTTTCTTCTTGCTCTTAGTTTGGTCATTTAAGTTTAAATTAAACTTCATATATTGAATTTCTTTTTTTAAAATAACTAGGATATTTCATTTATCGAAAGTCGTATTAACAAATGTCTTGTTAGTTATAGACTTAACAAATACAGACGTGACTATTATAAATATAATATAAAAATAATTATTTAGTGATAGTTTGATAAACAAAAATATTAACGAGTGAAGCAACGACGTATATAAATTGATCACACCAACGACTTCGAGCATCAAACATGGATGAGAGAAATTTAAAGAAGAATCAAAATGACCAATAAAAAAAACGATCTCCCCTTAACAGTAATTTCATCCGGCATATATATACAATAACTAATAAATCGTCATGTACAAACGAATAGAGGAATCAGACATCGAGAACGCAATCAACCATGAATTCATGTAAAATAATAGATCGAGAAAAAAACCAAATTAAAAAATCTACACCGAAAGTCCATAAACACCGATAATTATATACCTTTATGAGGGTCAAGAGAAACATTATTATCAAACTAAGTTAAAACTAACAATGAAAAACTAATAAAATAAAGAACGGACGAAAAAAAGGAAGCAGAAGGACAGGGACGGCCACCACTGCTGCCTCAAAATGACTTTGAAAAACCGCTGTTGCAAAATATTAACCACTGCAGAAAAACTTTGAGAGTGTGATTTGGGAGTTTCCCTTTGATGCTATATAAATTATGACGAATGAAGTAAATTGGATTTTTTAAGTAATGTTAAAGGTTTAAATTATAACGATTATGAATGAAGTAAATTGGATTGGACTTGTAATGAATCTTTGTACATATTGAAACTTTTTTATCACTGTTATAACATTTTAAATTATGAAATGACCATCCAACTCAGTTGGTAGAGCGTAAGGTTTTTAACTTTGAGATCGTGGGATCGAGTCTCACGGAGGGCATTTCATAATTCGGAAGTCTCCTACAAAAGCTGCTCTTAACTTAGCATTGAGGGCAGCATACTATTATACATTCCCTTTATCCCATTACATATGTGAATATGGGTAAGCTAATTTTTTTATAACATTTTAAATTAATATATTTTCTTTTTAACTTTCTAATTTCTACACTTTTTTATAATTTTCTTTCTTTCTTCAAATTCATTTTATACGACACAATTAAATTTGGACAACAAAATTTTACTCGACTTGAAAAATCAATTTTTTTATTGGAATCGATTTGAATTAATTTCTAGTTGTAATTTCATAAACTCAACTTAAAAAAAAATTCAAGTTCAAATCGAGTTGTAAAATCAAACTGAATAACTCGAAATTTTTAATAATTAGTTGATTGATTTTTATGTTTAAGTCGAGTAGCTCGACTTTGTATGATATATGTATATCACATATAAAAATATGAAGAAAAATATATATTGTATATGGTTATAAAAAATTATTTAAATTGGATTCAAATAATATCATAATATTATAAATATTTACAATTTAAATTTAAACAAAAAACTCAAAAATTTGACTCGACTTGACTAGAAAAAAATTTTCAAGTCAACTTCAAGTTGTGAAATAGGACTCGTCAACTCAAATAACTCGAAATATTTTTACTCGATTCGATCAAACGCTGACCCTAACTAAATCATCACTTTTAACTTAGACTAGAAACATCAAACAACTCTCTTACTCAACCAAACATCCCCTTCTTTAGATTTCAATTGGAATCACATTAAAAAAATTACTTAAGAAGGAACATAAAAGCCATATTGCATTTTACCTTCTTAATGTAGGAGAGAACCATATTCTCGATATCTCATATGATATCCTCTGCATTTGGGAAGACAATCCATTAATTTTCCATAACATTAATGACAAATTTTGCAAATCTTATTGCCATGAGAGAATAAAAACGGGTTGAGAATGCTTAACTGATATAGTCATTATTCTTGAATGAAAAAAAATTGAAGATAATATTTAAATTTTAGATTTCCTGGAAATATATTATGGTCCATCAATATTAGTAGACAAATTGAGGCCTTTACAAATGACTGGTTTATTCTCAGAGAAGACAATTGAGGTCGGTTATTCACAAACGTACGACTTGTGAATTTTTTAATTTCATTCTTGATAAGATTCGAAAAATTTACCCGGGTGGTCCTTTCGCTCCCATTTCTTTGTCGGACGTGTTATTTTTGGCAAATTCAGTCTTTAAAGCCATTCCTTCCGATTATATGCTATCTAGTAGATTTTCTTCCCGCATATGTGATGATATCGAGAAGATGATACATAATTTTATATGGGGTTCTAGCCCTCCTAACCATGGGATCCCTTTAGTTCGTTGGAAAAGCCCCTGTCAACCACGTAAAAATGGAGGCCTTGGTTTACACAATCCTCATAACCAGAATATTGCTTTCCTCCTCTAGTTTTGCTATGCTCTTATCTCGAACACCAACAGCTATTGAGTCTTACTCCTGAGGCAGAAGTATAGGCTCTACGAGAATTGCCTGAGCTCAATCACTCGATCTAGATGTTCTCACTTGTGGAGTGCCCTTGCTAGAATTTGGCCATCGTTTTATAGTTTTTTCTCTTGGTCCATTGGGGATGACACGCTCACTCGTTTCTAGCATGATAATTGGGTTCCCCAACTCAGTCCATTAATTAATTGGAAAACCCCTTTGGCAGTCTTTGATGACAACTCGCTTGTTTATGATATCCTTTCTTCTTCTGGTTCGTGGAATTGGGACCTCATGAGAATTCTCCTTGTTACTGCAGATATTCCTATCATTATGGGCATTCACTGTCCTATTCCTTCTGCTGGCCACGACAAATGCTACTAAAAGCCCGACAAACATGGCCAATTTTCAGTCAAATCAGCTTATCAAAAAATTTCAGACTCAGATTGGGATTTTTGTGGAGTCAATTGGAATATAATATGGAAACTCCCTGTTCAAGAACGTATCAAGTATTTTCTCTGACCCTCTATAAAGGACAAGCTTCTTTCAAATCAAAGCCGATGACATCGTAATCTCACTTATGACCCTTCCTGCTTATTAGAGATATTAAATATGGTTGTTAGTACGGTTGTTGAACAGTTAGGTTGTTAGGGTAGGTTTTCTGTTACTGCAGGTTGTTGAAGAAAGGCTTATATAATATTGTACTTTACTGCTTGTAAACATAGATGTTGAAATACATTTGTTGAAGTTTCTATCAACCTCCTCTCTTCTTGATAGTTTAACTCTGCTCCATTTGTGGTGCTGTCGACCTGAGGGATTGCTTGGGAACTAAAGCTCTATGGACTTCCATCTTACCACAAACTCAGCTTCATGGCTTCATTTTCATGCCAATCAATGTTTGGATTTTTTCGAACATCCAATCTCCTTTGCCTTTTGCAGGTACTAAGTTCCTTGAAAAATTATTTTCGCTTCAATTTGTTGGCAGATTTGAAAGCGCAGGAATGCCAAGATTTTGACATGACAAGCTCAACCAAATGATATCCTCCTTCATCAAAGCAAATCTTGGGCATCTTATTATTTTTCTGTACGTCAACGTTATGATCCTGGAGCGCTTCACCCTTCTTTGCTTGAAGAGGTTAGAAGGATGTCAGCCCCCTAGATGGACTACTCTGAACACAGATGGTGCCGTGTCTCCCTCATCCTCTACTGGTACTGCTTGGTTGTCTCATCAGAGACCACCAAGGTAAATGGATTGTAGGTTTTAAGTTTTAACAAATATGTTGAATATTTCAACCTCTCCATGCTGAACTCTGGGGCATTCTTGAAGGTTTTCGAATTGTTTGGTCTAATGGTTTTGAATACTTACAGTGTCAAATCGATTACAACAAAGCTTTCAGCCTTGTTACGTCTTATACAACGCACTCCAACTCTCTTGCGCTTGTTCGAGCTATGTCTAGTGTTACCTCAAAAGCTTGGCATGTCCAATCTATCCTGATTCGTCGAGAAGCCAATTTCCCGATAGACTTCATGGCAAAGTTACCTCCGTCCGATGGTGGCTCGACTAGAATCTACATGAAACCGCCCCAAGGAGCTAATATTTATTTGAAGAGGGACTTCATTGCCCCCTTATATTAGAAACTAGTACTGTTTTGGCTTTTAGCCCTCTTCTACTAAAAAAAAAAGTTCACTGATTTTATGTAGTTTACTACTATGT